GCTCAGTGGCTGTTAAAAAAACAGATGTGCCTGAGCGAGCGTCTGCAATAGGGATTGGCTAGCCCCCTAGTAGATGGGTATCCTCGAATGCGAGTGGCCAGCTATTATATATATATATATATATATATATATATACATAGATATACAGTGTAACCCAGATATAAGAGAGTTGTCGGGACCGGAGAAGAAGTCTCTTATATCCGGGTTTCTCTTATATCCGGGTTTGGTCTATTTTATATACATTAACACAGGCTCTAATTTGGGACCATAGAAAATCTCTCTTATATCCGGGTTACACTGTACGTTAAAATGAATTATAACGTTGTTCCTTACAGCCAGATTCTATTCAAATTTCATGCGCGTAATAATCATCAAGCGTAAACATGGGCTGCCACCGAATATGCCCCCCTCCTCACTCCACTACAACTCAATTTTCGAAATGTAGTATTCATATCAAATATAAATTTTATTGTAACCTACTTATGTACCATAATGGATAATATATATTATAGACAAATAATTCAAGTAGAAAAATGGAAAAGAAATAAAACGTATCTATATATAAATTAGGGATATGTCATAATAGAAATAAATCAACAATGTTTTGCGGCAAATTTTTTAACATCAACTTGAGATTTTTTCCTTGTTAAAAAGTTGAATAATTTTAACACCTTCAATATTATGTATAAAAATAATCGAATTTTTAGTTGTTTTTTTTTTTTTTTTGGGGGGTCAGTGATTAAGTCACTGAAAAAAAAAATTCGATTGCAAGGAATTTAGGAAAAAAAAAATCCGAAAATTTTTCATCCTTTAATGTTTGTGCTTGGTTTATTTTGTAGCGTATATAAATCTAGGTAGAAAAAAATAAAGGTTAATAAGATAATGAGGGTGAAAAAGCACTGACGGGGCCCCTACTCAGGCTTGGCACACCCCGGGTCGGAGGGATCTGGAGTTTCACGCACTGGCCCTATCTTTCCTAACACGCTGTTATTTATTATATTATATGATATGAGATATATATATATATATATATATATATATATATATATATATATATATAACATTTGCATTGATAAATTTTCTCAGGACGAAACTCGTCGGCAAAGATAGGTTTTCCTTTTGTTTCTATTCATCTTGTCCTTTTACAGCTATACTCTATCTGAAATTTTTACACAATTATATATATATATATATATATATATATATATATATATATAGGTTGGCAATAAAGTCACTATAAAGTTACATACAATAACAAGACAAAGCAATTAATCTAAAAGTCCAGAAAATTGTAAAACTGTTTCTGGTTAATAACAATAAAATGCTATGGTAAACAATAGTAAATTAATTATCGATACTGTTTGAACTGCAACCTACCTTCTTCTATGCTTATATATATATATATATATATATATATATATATATATATGTTATATATATAATGCGTGTGTGCATGGTCAGTCAAAACGTTCTACATACTCGTAAATTACAATAGATGTACTCGGGGAAGCACATACTGAAAGATACATTTAGAATTCTATGACTTTGGTTCGCTTTGATAAGTTCTTTCATTCGCAAACGTCGCAATCGACCTTTCAATGAGTATTATTCCCGCCAGAAAGGAAACTTCTTGGTTTCTTGTCCAAACCTGTGCTAGTTACCTCATTCGCCTCATCATCCTTCGAGTGCTCTTTACGTTGTGCAGTTCCAGAAGCTTTTGAGCAGCAACCCTTTCTGCTTCTTCATAGAGTTTGTGAACATTTTGGAAACCCATTTTGCAGAGAACTCGTAGCCGAGGGACTGTACTGAATTCGGTATTACCGTGGCTCAGCTGAAGGATTTCACTGAGTTTGGCAACAGTGATTCTTTTGTCAGCTACCACGGGGGTATCAGCCTGCCTGGTTTTCTCTCAAAGACTGACATCAACTCAGGTGATTCATCTCCGTACCGTCCTTACATAAAACTTCAGCTTTACTATAAACATTCACGGACGTCCTGTGAATGTTAACAGAACTTTGTTCTTCCAAAATCAGAAATTCTATGAAATTTATTTAGTTTCAATGCATAGCCAGAGGGGCAGCCATTTTGACAAGATTATTATGACAAGGAAAAGGAGATCGTAACTTTACAATATTTGCCCCACCCCAGGGCTTCTAGACACTTTATGGTTTTATCTTAAAAAGTCGGTAGGAATTTTGACTAATACTTTCAAATTAAATTAGAGCAGTCATTAATTTTTGAACTGCGATCTTGTATGAGATTTTTTTCTCTGCGAATACGTACATACTTAGGATAGAAGTTTAATTTATAAATTCGGAACAATAAGAGATTGACAACAATAAATAATAAAACAATTATAACGCTGATAGATGACTGAGTCAAGATTGGTTTTCGCCATGCCCCTTAGCAATCTCTGCGTACGTTTCTTAATAACTTTCACTTCTTCATTTAAAAGGTTTCATATTGGCCTATCTGAATTGCCAACATCACTAGAGTTGCGCTTTGGGACCATTATTAAATAAAACTGATGAATTATTTATTTCTGAGTTCGACTGCTGGTAACTGAAATTGCGGAAAGCCTAACCGCAAATAAAAGGAACCCTTCTAGTATCTTTGCTATTCATGGCTAATTAATTATAGGATGACGATTGAATTTGGTGCTACAAAAATTTCATTTGTTAAAGATTTTGAAACTTATCCTAGCTTAATTTCTATTTTTTTTTTTTTTTTATAATCATTTCACCTCAAGCAAGACAGTAAAGCCACTAAGACGCTAGGGGATTACTGAGTCTTACGGAAAAAAAACGAAAACCTATCCAAGAGAGAAGAATTAAAAAGGAATTAAGAAGATAACGATTGACATTGCATATAAATTTTTGAACATCAAAGTTGACTGGAAAACAAAAAGCCAGAAGAGAGTTCTAGAATTAAAAAGTGCAAGAGTAGAAATTGTTAGCATGGAACTTACGTGTAATCATTTTCATCTGTAAAAGGAAGAGGCCTTGTCGCCAATCTAATATTGCGCTTATATTCATAAAGTCGAGTTGCCATAAGGGAAAGTTCATCAGAACAATTATCATGAAAGTATTTATGGAAAAGGCGCAGGGAAACTACATTACGTCGGTGAGAAAGTGACTGAAGCCGATATGCCAGGTTAGGACTAATAACATTACAAATTCTTCTTTGGATTTTATCCAGTATCTAGAGATAGATAGCAGGTGTACTAGACTATATAAGGCAGCAATATTCAAAGCAAGGGCGAATGGTAGACTTATAAATATGTAAGATTTTGGCGAGTAAAATTGTCGAGCAGACTCAGTAATTGATTCAATATAATCTTTCCAGTTCATGTTCGGAAAAACGTTAATCCGAGAAGGCATAATGAGTCGCTCTACTGGAGATTAGCATCAGCCATGCCGATGGAAGGTAAAAACTGTTCTATCAGATGATTAAAAGAGAGCAGTCTCGTTTTGGGAGATTTAAAATCAACAATCCATTCCTTGCACCATTTAACAACAGATTGTAGTTAATTTTTAAGATCAGCTATTAATTTGACCCTATCGAACCGATCAGACTTACCATTAAGACAGGAGTAAATAACTGCCATCGGCTTAGATACCGAGTTGAGAACTGATGACATCAGGAATGTCATTGATGAAAATGAAACGTAGTTTCAAGAACAGAGCCTCTGAGGAATACCTGCATTAATGCAAAAAGTTCTAGAAGAATGGATATTAAACAATAACATTCATTTTGCGATTTAATAAGACTGAATCCGTTTTAAAATTTTTCCAGAAATATTATAACCTTTCGATTTGTGAATAAGACAAGTATACCAAAACCTTGTTAAATGTCTGTAATGAATAGCAACAGCAAACCAATGTTTGATAAAGTGTGCTCCGTAAGCACACACTGCATGATAATCGGCCTCATGGCATAGACAGTTTGTATTATGATCAGTGCCAAATATAAGTGTTCATGTTTTTTTTTTTTTTTTTTTTTTTGGTTGCTGTTCACTCCAGCCTTCATGAGGTGCCTTTAGAGCCAGGTAACCATAAAAACATTTCGGACTGACCTTTTATTAAATCAGCTGGTATAGATTGTTCTGATTCCGTTGGCCCTGCCTTGCCCCTTTTCTTGTTAATGCTCGGTTATTGCTCCCCGCCCCGGTCTCTATTTAATCTAAGTCTGCACTAACCAGTCTAAGGAATAAAACATCAAATTCACAAACAAACATTTAATCAACAAGGCTATTGTCCCGTACGTATTATTTATTGATGAAGGCAGAGTCTCTTCCAACTCGAATGAGTGACCAAACACTATCTTCTCCCTTCCATTTTTTTTTTTTTTTTTTTTTTGATGTATCAATTTAATAAATATAGCAAGATTCTTATCTACATAAATATCAGATGACGGTAAAAGGTCTGGCTAGAGAAATGGTTTGGGCAGTAAAAACTATTTGAAGAACGTTTTCTTCTGTTACTGGTCCAGAGGAATTTCTCTGCCAGATGTGCACAGCAAAGGCAGAGAAAGGAAATTCTTAAAACATTGCCTTTATCAAATGTTTTGTATGCGTATTAAATACTTCATACACACTCTCCGTTTCCTGTGAAAAAAGATATTTTATTTAATTTTTTTTTGTTTTGAATTCTGTCTTCTAGTTTTTTAGTCTTTTGTTGCAGTGAGTAGTGTATAGTATTTTGGAATCATCTACTAGCATTTTGTCTTATACTGATATTTTGGTTGTTTTTGATATGATGATCGATATGTGCACGAATTTCCCGAAGTTTCCACAAGTGACAAATCATCCTACGAGAAACTGTAAGAGATGTGGGGCCAATAAAATGTATATTTGTTATTGGCATTGAAGATGCATTTTCTGAAAGAACAAGAGAATTCATAAACATTGTTTTTACGTAGAGGCGGGAGGCATTTTTGATGTCACAAGTTAATGGTGATGATTAGGGTAATTAGAGTTTAGTGTGGTATACGAACACATGTTGAAATACTGGTCCGCGTACGATCACCGAAGTTAAGTAACTTCGAGCATATTCAGTACCTAGATGGGTGACTATTTGGGAACACCAGATGCTGGAAGATTGAATGTGCGAGTGAATGTAATAGATCGAAATTGTCCATCGGAAAGCAGTTCCGATTCCTGCTGTGTTCGTTATATTCACTTGCTCATGGATGCTCTTGGGAGAGGTATGAATCCACCTCTTCTCCCACCACCTATGGGTTAATCAGTGGGACTTGTATGATTAAACTGTTGTCTCCAAAAAGAAAGTCTAAAAATGTTTTTATCTGGTTTTGAATAACCTACGAACGGTTAAGCCGTAGAAAGCGCACATCGAATTTTGGTCCCTCAGACTAAGTGTTCCTTTCAAATGATTTTTAAACAAAAAAAATAAATAAAAAAAAGTGATTGAAAAAGTTAATTACCAATGACCTGTAACGGCATTCACCCGGGGTGGGTTGAGCCGGCTCCAATATTGGAGTTTCATGGGAATTTGGAATTCACAAGCAGTCCCCTACCCGTATGTATAGCACATGAGATTTCGATTATAGTTAATTCAGTTCTTGTATAATTCTATTAAGTGGCTCTTGTAACTGTTTTCCCCTCCCACTTAAACAGAACCCCGTGTTTATCTTACTGAAATGCCGTCGGTCCCAAAATCTGTCATTAGTTTTTCATATCCCCCTCCAGATTTTATTGTGAAATCATTAGTAAATGATTTTATTTATATGCGAGATGGACAATTTGTAAAAACGGCCGGGGTTAGCTTGCGTAATGTCAAGTCCGTGGAGATCGTCTGGTACAGGAATTAATAAACCCCCAAAATTGTCATAGAAATGTATAAAGAGATTCGCGTTAGGCGCGAAACGTTGATGAATAATTTTGAATATGCACTGGAAAACAAACAGCATGTGAACGATTGCTTTAGGTTTTCTTTCCTTTGTATTTAATGGGTTATTTCGGTCAGTGGACGCCGTTGGGGATTATTTCTTGACATGTTCTTACTCTCTCCTTTACCACATCAGAACTCTGCCGAAAGAAAATCACCACATCCAGTATTCCTCCTTGATGACATAAAAGATATATGCAACATCATTTCCTGGTCAAAGTGCGCTTGCGCAATGACGAGCAGGATAAAGTGAACATAGCCTCAAGTTGGTTTCTGGTTTCTTCTCAACTTTATTTTTTTGCTCTTTTTCTACCCGTATTTTTGCTTATGACCAATGTTTCTGGTGCAAGCAAAAGCAATATGAGAAAATCACGCTTGGAAACCGCTTTGTAAATCCTTGTATGACAGGCGACATGGTGATACATAAATTGGTGTAACCGAAAAACATTCAACACCGAATTTTTTATTCATTTGAGAGAGAGGTTCGGACAAAAGAATAAATGACTAATAAATATTACTGTAGAGCATTATTAACCGCAAAAAATGATGCGATTATTTACGTATGGATTGACGCATAGAAAATACACCAAAAAATGATTCTGGCTTAGATTAAAATTCTGTATCAAGGCATTCCGTGAAAGGCTAAGAATAAAAAAAAAAGTTGTATTCTGTTTGTTTAAATTTTCGCTTCATTTTTTTTCTTCTAAAGTAAGTTTTGCAGGTCCGGTTCAGCATTGTGGATAAACTATCCAGAGCTGATTTTCTTAAAGTACTTTCGACCGCCCCACTTGTTGTTAGTATCGTAGATACCAATATATTAGCTACATCCTGGCATTTTTTTTTTTACATTGCATTTATAAATACAATAAAAGCGAAAAAAAAGCGCCCACTTTCTTTAGAATGGCATGATTTCAGATACATTCTAGTTTATATATATATATATATATATATATATATATATCGTCATCCACAGACACTGTTTCGCTGTATCACAGCTCGTCAGTGTGGATAGACGTCTGGTTGCATCTAGCTAGGATCTAAACCCGACTGAATTGGCGCACGGCAGAGATGAAGGTGAATTTAAGCGTATTTATTTTAAGATAAACACACAGTGACTGAGAGAACTCTATTCGATTTACCGAAGAGTTTTGCATTCTCTCGTCATAGATCTCCAGAGACATTTCGTATCCAAACGTAAGAATTTTTAGAACTCTTGCTCAAATACAAGTATCCACTAAGAATAACGTTTAAAGTGATAAAATCCATTTTATATATATATATATATATATATAATGGATTTTATCACTTTCAGAAATCCTCCTCAAATATAAGTATCTACAAATTCTTAGGTTTGGATACGAAACTGTGCAGATAGGAAATGTCTCTGGAGGTCTATGACGAGAGAAATCTCTCTAAAAGGCTCAAAATTTGGCCTCGCCTGACCGACTCTTTTTCGGATGAGCATGTCACTATGATCACTAGACTTTTAAATTAAGCACAGTACTAGACTGCCGACGAGGTTTCATCAATTTTCACTTGAGTTGGCTTGATGTAACCGTAAGTCCTATGCTAATGATTTCTTTTCTCGCGTTTCTTCTTTAAAACTCCCTCCCGCCCCCATGCTTTCCAGGCAACTTTGCATCTAAGTTTTTGAGAGTTCATGTCAATCGTTATCTACTGTCTTTCTGATTACTCTTTTGTTTGCGCTCCTTAGTAATGTTTCTGTTTTCTAATTTTTCCACCCGAGTAACCCCTTGTTTTAGTGACTTTACTGCCTTGCTTGGAGGTGATTGATTAAAAAAAATATGATAAAGAACAAACAGGAAATGTTTATCAATCTAACACATTTCTATAATTTTATTCAAGCTTTATATTCTCTGATAAAGTATCTGGCTATATTTCTGAGATGAGATATTATATACACTATTTACATTTTTCGAACTATCATCATCTTTGTTGTCATATTTATCACAACGTTTCGCCCGTTGTACGCTCCGGCTTTCTTCAGGTTGTTGAATTGTATTTTCTCCGATAACCCCTTCACATAATGCAGGCAGACTGTTTTCTGAGTTTTGTTATCCTCCTCTTGTACCCGTTTATCCCAGTTTTTATAGGATCTGCAGTCCATATAACATCAAGATAACCTTCAAAAGCTGGACGACACTTCGCAGATACCTCTCCCGCGTAAGACCCCCCCCACATACATGAACATGACTAAAGACTGTACGCCATCCTGTGCAGCTGCGGAAAGAAATATAAAGGGGAGACAGACCGTCCCCTTAAGGCAAGGCTTCAAGAACACCAAAAAGCTGTAACACGAGGGGAAGTGGAAAAATTAGGCGTGGCTGACCACATATGGAGAGAAAAGGAAGATCACCGCCCTGTGTGGGATCAGGTTGAAATCATAGACAAAAAGACATTGTAAAGTTCGTAAACTTAAGGAATCAGCACATATGCTAGGCCACAAAAATCTCCTGAGACGACCAAGCATAGAAATGAATATAATATGTGAACCAGTAATAAGGAATGCTGGAGAAAAGCAATAATAACAACGAAAATTGCAATATGAGCTCTGGTTAAAAAAAAAAGAAAAACTGCAATGATGACAGCAAAAATTGCAATATGGTAAAAATGGTTGCTGAAGACATTAAGTTTATAATACCCAGAAACTCATCCAGAGATATCCTCAAGGACACATGGCACAATGAATAAAGGCGTTAGTAAGCTCCAGTGTCAGTGTGAGAGTTCAATACCGGGTTAAGGCGGCGGAGAACTAGGAGAGGAGAATTAACAGGAAATAACGGATAAATGACATTAGACATGGCTCAGAACATTAGAACAGTCTACCCCAGTGAGCGAAATGAAGGGTTCAGTTCGATATTCCAACCACCTGTGATAAATATGGCAACATAAGATGAGGATGATAGTCCGAAAAATTTAAATAGTATCTGATAAAGCTTTAATAAAGGTGGAGCATTATATTCATATTTGATCCCAACTCCCTCTTTACGAGGAGTTACTTAAACGTTGTCAGCTTTGACTTCTCTCTCGAAATCTGACCATATGACATATCGAATGTTTAAAAAAAATCAGTTCTTGTTTGAGCTGATGACTTCAACAATGACTGTATCAGGTAAATATTTCTTCGAACGATTTATATTGTAATTTCCAGTCGCACCTGGTGAAAAGACCGCATCATCATCGAAAGTTGATCTTGTTAAATATTCTGTACGTTTGATTGTATCTAGGAAATGTACGGTGTTAGTTACAAACTTAAGTGAAATTTGTCTACGTTTTATGTTGTTAATATTTAATATTAGTTACCAGACTGAAATTTTGCAGAATAAACACCAATTCGAAATTCAAACGAGATAAGGTAAGCTTTATGATTATTTAAAAACCTCAGTTTAGTACGTGAAATTGACTATCTGTTGATCTTCAGTCCTAAGAAAATATCATACTCTGATCGGTTCGTGGCAAATGAAGAAAATCTGGACGAACGGTTATTTATTGAAAACACTTGCTGATTTTCTATGTTGTTCCTGCAATCATTGAAGTACTCTGAACCAGATTGATGCAATTTCATTAATTATTGTCTGGCGAGGCTCAAAAACGTTTGTTTGTAAATTAATGGTAACTGCCGCTTTTATGTGCTACTTTAGTTCGAGAAAAGTTTAATAGGAACGCTCTCAATTCGGAGGAGGGTGAAAACTCATACATCCTTGAGGGGGAACGGGAAAGTGCTCGACCCAACCAAAAAGCCCTACCAAAAGAAAGCAGAATCTGATGTTTCATAATTTGGTCAGATTTTGTGAAGTGTATCGAATCGATAACGTTTCAAGTATCCACCGTGTGTGTGTGTGTGTGTGTATATATATATATATATATATGGTGTAACAGCAAAATTGTCTAAATCGTATAACAGCATGCGATAATTGTCCGTTCCGCAAAATGTCTAATATGTAAAAAAAAAAAAAAAAACTAATTGAATCTTTTTTCAGGTTTTCAGTTAAGACGTTTAGCCATCGTGACACCATTTGTCGTAACAATATATATCTTTAATCATCTAAGATACAACGGTTCAGAGCTTAATAATTGGGCAATTTTACTGTTACACACACACTCTCTCTCTCTCTCTCTTTCTCTCTCTTTCTCTCTCCCTCTCTTTCTCTCTCTCTCTCTTTCTCTCT